TAATAATTTTTATTAGCTTTCAATTACAACAATACCAATTTATAATACAATTATAAATACAAATCGTTCAAATACCAAATTATACGATTTAGATAAAAGTAGCTCCCCGTGTGCTAGATTTGATGGTTTGCTTTATTTCTGTGCTCCAAAATCTTACTCATTTCCATTACATTCCGGTCACAACAACTGCAACATTAATAACTCCTATTCGTGGTGAATGATTTATGCTTTAAAGCAGCATGATTCAATCAACAAGAACAAAAGCAAGCTTAACCCATTAAGCGACAGGGACACTTTTGCAGGCTCCCCATCTCCGATTCAAGCCGTTGCCTCCCAAACTCCTGTACTACCCAACTCCAGATAGTAATTCTAACTCATGGGGAGGGGGAAGGTATCAGAGGAAGCCATGTTTGCCCTGCTGTGCAATTCCAACCAGGCATTTCGCCACAAAACCCTTAACCAATAACCCCCCCCCCAAAAAAACCCTGCTAACCCAATACTTGGGAGTTTGGTTACAACATAACCTTAGATGGAGGGCCCATGTAGCCTATGTTACAAATAGAGCCAAAGCTATCTCCTTGGCGATCTTGCGATTCTTCTTCACCGATGGGGCCCTTCATATCCCATCGGCGTTGAAAGTCTTCAAGGCCAAGGTGATCCCGACAATTGCTTATGCCATCTCAATCTGGGGGACTTTTGTCAACCTATCTCACCTAGAGGTTATTCAAAATCAGTTTTTAAGAGGGATATTGAAACTGCCCAACTGTGTAAGCAATACAGCGTGGAACTTAATACTGTATCCCTGGAAAACGCTCTGTGGAAGCACATACTTTGTCACTGGTTATCTCTATGGCACAATCTCCCAAACTTGTACTTGATACAATGTATGTGGAGAGATGATTTCCAGAGCCCATGGGTAAAAAATTTACAGCTGAAAATTAGGGCAATGGGAATCTCCCCATCCAAATTACTAGAGCAGGACATAGTTCCAGCTAAAAGAACAGTAACCTGTAAACTAGAGGAGATGGACTTGCAGCAGAAAATGGTCTTGGGCAATGGTACCTGCTCACCTCTAAACCTTGGTTTATTACCCCTCTTAAGGCTCCCAAACTATTTGAATTCCTTAACTTCTTCAGCTCATAGATATGCCTTTGTAAAGGCAAGATTTAACACCTTCCCATCGAACGTGCTGAGAAATAGATTCTCCAATGGACAGATATCGCTCTTATGTAATTGTAACTGTGGGGCACCGGAATCGTTGCATCACATAATTCTTGATTGTGCTTTTCACTCATCGGCCAGGAGCAAGTTTCTTGCTCAATATCTAAAGGAAATTGCCGATGATACGATTGAAGCCAAACTGAGATATCTATTAAATGATGATGACCCCCTAAGATCACTCACGGTTGCCAGATTCTTGATCAGCGTCCTATCCCTAAAGAAGAGAAACGGACTCCTGTGCGGCTCGGATAATCCCTTTAAACCATGATCTATGTTTTAGGATGTAATTAGGTGATATCACCATTGATGTCTTCTATTAATTTATGAGCAGAGGGCGACGTTTATGTTACAAATTTATTGTAATGCATGATGTTGGCCTTTTGTTTTTGTTTTGCTTTGGTTCTTGTTTGTTTTTTGTAAGTTTTGGCGGTTTTAAATTTGGAGGTTCAAGTACATTATGTTGGTTGGTATAGGAAACTGTCGCGTGACGGGCCAATGGCCGTAATAAAGATCAATCCAATCCAATCCAATCCTTTGGTTGATCTATTTAAAATCCTTTCAAAATGTGGCTCTTTTCTTGGGGGAGGGGTGTTGTTTATTGGGTTGTAGCTTTTATTCTGATTATATATGTTGTGATCTTTTCTGTGAACCGCCCTGAGACCTCTGGGTATCGGGCGGCATATAAACTCCGTAAATTATTATCATTATTATTTTCAGAGTCACGTTCGACCCACATGTAGCATGGAGTGTGGTGATGGTGGGGAGATGGACTACATCCATTTGCACGTACAGAAAACGGGCCACCCAGGGCTGTATTTGGGTTTGATGAGGCCCTAAGCTACTGAAGGTAACGGGGCCCTTTATATGTCCAGCTGTCCTTTGTCAACAACAAATTGTCGCTGTTTTTTTGCGTTGAATATATCCTATAGGGTAACTTATGGACCTAATAGGTATCTAAAATCATTTGCACGTAACAAAATATGTATTTTATCAAAGTTTAGGACTTCCGCTTTCCCGCTGATTGCTCTTGGACGCCCGTCTCGGGAGTTCCGAGGGGTGAGCACTCACCAAAGGGGTGAAAGAGGGGGCTTGCTAGGCTTCACAACCCCCAAAAGGTTCAGGAGAGCTTCCTGCATCTAAAAGGACACGCTGTGGCGTTGGAGGGGTCTCCGGAGTTGAAGGAGACCACAGATTTCCCTCCCCGCGAAGAGAAAGCCTGACTTCGGGAGTGACCCTGCGGCAGAAGCTCCAAAGAAAAGAGGCGTCCGGTATTTGCAAGCACGGTCGGTCCCCCGGAAAAAGCTATCAAAACACAGGTAGTTAAGCATAAATCATATGCTTCTTTGGGCTGGAAAGCTGTACAAAGTTTATTTGCTTTTTGTCTTATATCTTGGAAATGCACATTCAGGTTTTTTTTACTTTAATTTTTTTGGGGGGGCCCCCAAGAGAATGGGGCCCCTAAGCTATCGCTTGTGTGGCTGCTTCTTAAATGCGGCACTGGGGCCAGCGGGGAAGCCCCTTCCCTTGATGCTTTTCAGGCGGAAGGAGGAAACCTGCTTGGGGGGGCGCCTGCCCTGCTATAGAGGGAGCGAAGGGGGAGCCACCCCAGTTAGGAGGACCCCTGAAGGGCTCAGCAGAGAGGAGGCCAGCAAAGGGCAGCCTTAAAGCCCCGCTCCCTCCAGAGGCGGCCCAAGGCGGCGCCTCGCAAAGCTTGTCAAGAAGACGCGAGGCGGGCAGGTCAGCAGCCTCCCCTCACACCCCCCGTCGGAGGACGGCGGCCCGACATGGGCCTACTTGGGAGTAAGCGCCGCGAGCCTTCGCCGCTGAGGGGAGCGGGGCCTACTTGGGAGTAAGCGCCGCGAGCCTTCGCCTCTGAGGGGAGCGGGGCCTACTTGGGAGTAAGGGCCGCGAGCCTTCGCCGCTGAGGGGAGCGGGGCCTACTTGGGAGTAAGCGCCGCGAGCCTTCTCCGCTGAGGGGAGCGGGGCCTACTTGGGAGTAAGCGCCGCGAGCCTTCGCCTCTGAGGGGAGCGGGGCCTACTTGGGAGTAAGCGCCGCGAGCCTCCGCCGCTGAGGGGAGCGGGCGGCCTAGCGCAGCCTGACGGCCCCCCGAGGCCCAGGCCGCGCCAGGCCTCGCGTTTCGAACCGCTCCGCCCTCCCGCTCGAAACAAGGCCGCGGCCCTCGAGGCCCCGCCGCCCTCCTCCGGCTACCGGCTCCGCGTCGGGGCGGAGACGGAGCGGGAGGCCGCCGCAGCCGGGCGGGCGGGGAAGCTGCTGGACTCCCGCTTGGCCCGCCCGGTCCCCCGCCCGCTCCCCAACTCACCATTGTGGTCCATGGTTCGGTGTAAGGTACTCTGGGACAGGAAGTCGCCTCCGGGCCACAGGATGGGCGGGACCGGAAGCGCGAGAGGCGGCGGGAAACGTAGAGGTGCGAAAGCAGAGGCGAAACCGGTCGCCGGAGGGGCCGCTTCCTGGTTCCTTCGGGCGGGAATGTCCATCGGCAGTGCCATATAGGGAGCGAGGGAACGGGAGCCTGTGCAGGATTTGAACTCTGAGCAGCGGAAGGAACGAGAGAGGGGAAAGATACGGTGCTGTAAAGGGGGGAGAGAAAACACCATGGAAAATGGAACGGGAGGTCGACAAAACAGAAGAAAGAACTTATTATGGATGGGACTGTATATGTGAAATTTCTGGAAATTTAATAGATATATCTAATTTTTTTAGTGCAAAATGTGACTGGGTAGCAGTCGGGCGTCTCCTTCAAGAAGTTTGCTACAGAGGCAGGATGGATGTTTGCCCTCCCTTGGTCATGTGCTGCATACGAAACTTGAAAAGTATGCGCCGCTGGACAAGCTGCTGTAGTTATAGTGTATTTAAATGAAATGAATGAATCGGAAAGTGAAAATAATGCGGCAGCGGGCGTTGCTTCTTAAGGAAAACGCGGCTTAAGTCCTTCTAAAAATTGCCCTGCAGATGTTAACAGGGCCTCGTTGCCGTGGCTGTGTCTCAGCGAAGGAGGCTCCATCCGTAGCAGCTCCGTCCGACTCTTGAGCAGGAGGACCGGGTGAGCATGGCTCGGTTTTTCCAGCCCAGCGTCGCCGCCCTTCAGTCTCGCTCCAAACTCCAGCCTAATAATCCCTGCGGTCCGTTGTGTGCAGGATTCAGATACTTCCAAAACTTCTTCTTCTTCTTCTTCTTTTTTTTTTTTTTTGCTTTTTAACCCGAACAGTTTATCACCAAAATGCTTTTACGCCCTGCTTGCCCACGCGACCCGAAGCAACGCGGCTTTATCACCACCGTACGATGTCCCTGTTTAGACGAGGGCGGCTCTCGCTTCCGAAGGAACCCAGAATTCGCAGACCTTGCGTAACTCTACAGTATTGGAAAGTCTACGGCCGGCCCCGCTGAGACGCCTCACATAAGCTCCAACCGGGACCTCCCGTAGATACACCAAACTCTAGACGTATATACTACTTCGGTCCTGACTTGACTTCGCTTCTTCGTTAGATTTAACGCTACCTCCGCCCTAAACCCGATCGGTAACTTTCCGCGGTAACTCCCAATGCAAAAGACAGAGAGAGAAAAAATGTCGAGGTAATAAAGGAGCAGCGCCTTTAAAAAAATAATTCGGAAATCGAGGCTGTTTGCTCCCTCTATGCTTTTCTTGTTTCTATGGTCTCCCTTTAGTTTCGTTCAGGACGCTCCCCTTCTCTTCCCGCTGAAACCGGCTGCTCTCCGGCCCTACGGAAGGGCGGAAGGGCCAGAAGGGTCAAGGTAGCGTTCCGTAGTGTTCTTCCACGGCTTGGAGGCGCGGGGAAGAATCCGCCGTCACATCCCCAAAGGAGCTTCTCGCGGGCTTTTTCTTTTTTTGCTGACGTCCTGGTTCTTTTTCCGTCATCTTTCTTTGCTGCTCAGGACGTTTCTTCTGTTATTTAGGGGAGAAGCTGTGTTTTGAGCAAGCGTTTGCCCATCATTCTCACCCACCCCCATGAATGGTTAGGGCTATTGAAAGGCTCCTAAAGGTAAAGGGACCCTGACCATTAGGTCCAGTCGTGGCCGACTCTGGGGTTGCGGCGCTCATCTCACTTTATTGGCCGAGGGAGCCGGCGTACAGCTTCCGAGTCATGTGGCCAGCATGACTAAGCTGCTTCTGGCGAACCAGAGCAGCGCACGGAAACGCTGTTTACCTTCCCGCCGGAGAGGTACCTATTTATCTGCTTGCACTTTGACGTCCTTTCGAACTGCTAGGTTGGCAGGAGCAGAGACCAAGCAACGGGAGCTCACCCCGTCGCGGGGATTCGTACCGCCGACCTTCCGATCAGCAAGTCCTAGGCTCTGTGGTCGTACAATTTGTGGCGATTTCAGAGTCTCGTCCATTAAAAGCAGCCTCAGCAAGTTGACAAGGGCATTGTGGCTTCTTAGGGCTGGCCCCACCCTGAGGCAAGGTGGGGGAACCTCCTCGGGCAGCAGAATCCACAGGGGCAGCAGATCCTGATGTAGATCACAGAATCATAGAGTTGGAAGGGAAACCCAGAACAATGGGTGGGTTGTGGTGGTGATCATCTTGTCCAACCCCCCTGCGATGCAGGAATCTTTTTTGTCCAATTGCCTGTCTCAAGCTCTGCTGACTGTTTTATCCCAGGAACCCTTTTTATCCCCCATCCCTTTGTTCCTGGAGTGGATCTTCACTCACCACTTCTTCTCTGGCAAGGAGAGGGGGCAATATTTTGTGGTTCGCCTCAGTTGCCAAAATTGTCTTGGGCTGGCCCTGTGTGGCGAACCAACGCTATTTTGGCATGAGCTTTCAAGGAGTGGAGCGCTTCACCAGAATAAAAAGAGTATGTGGTGCTTGAATTGGGCCGTAGTACGTGAAGGCTTATGTGCAATAAAATGTATTAGTTTTTAAAAGTACCATATTTTTCACTCTATAAGAACGCACCAGACCACAAGACGCACCTAGTTTTTGGAGGAGGAAAACGGGGAAAAAAATATTCTGAATCTCAGAAGCCAGAACAGCAAGAGGGATCGCTGCGCAGTGAAAGCAGCAATCCCTCTGGCTGTTCTGGCTTCTGTGATAGCTGCACAGCCTGCATTCGCTCCATAAGACGCACACACATTTCCCCTTTTTAGGAGGGGAAAAAGTGAATCATATAGAGCAAAAAATACGGTACTTTGTTTTTGCTGCAACTGACCAACGTAGTAGGCCCTCTGAAATTTCAGCCATTGAGACTCCAATCCGTTGAAACATGCAGCTCTGTTGAATCAGGATGTCAGAATGTCAGTTCTGTTAGCCAGTTTTGGTATCTGGTGAGGGACGACTTCAGATGTGTATGCAAATACTTAAAAGAAAAAAAGCTTTGTGGTGAGGGCTCATTGGGGCAAAACACCTTTTGACTATAGCCTGGCTTATTTTGACACTGCTATGAAGCAGTAAAATATGTTTTAAGTGTTTTATAGAGCTTGAAGTTACTGAAGCTACTGATCAAAGGGGATTTTTTAAAAAAACACACACAATTGTTTGCAATTAATAGGGTAATGCTGCAAGCTTAGCAAGATTAAAAGAGTTTGCTTTTTTCTCAGTTGTCTCATGTTTTTTGTTTTGCAGATGTGGCCCGATAACTTTTATGTGAGTAGTCAGTCCAGAGAAATCCTTCAATGTCCGCTAAGAAATCCAGTTGATTTGTTTCACTCTGAGACTATTGTGAAAATATGTGCTCCTATGGTTAGATATTCAAAGTAAGTGCCATTTTCAGACTGCTTCCTATTCACATATTTTCCTGGGCTGTAATAAACAATTCTATCCAAGAAAATTGTACTTAAATTAGCTTAGCTGTGAGTACACACACAGCTTTATTGCGGTCCATTGTCCCAAAGTACACAGTACAGCAGTGGAATATAGCAACAGTTACTGAGGTATAAGAGCGGCCTTGCTAGCCAGCAGAGGAGCTTTAGCTTTCGCTTAGCTGTGAGTACTTCGTTCTGTTTGTGAATCACATTTTATCAAGGCTTTGAGCCAATTGGTCTACTTTGATGTGAATGATAGGGACTGCAGCAAGTAATTCAAGTAGGTGAGCAGTGACAACAGCAGCAATGGGTTGCTAGAGTGGCTGAAGCAACTGTCAAAATTGATAATTTCTAAACATTGCTGGAGGCTTCTATACACATGGAGGCCGATTCACTGTCTCCTCTAGAACTTTATCAACAAAGAAATATATGTTAAGTATTTTGCAGTTGCCTGCAGGATATTCCCAATTTTGACAATTTGGTGGGAATGTACTTTTTAATCAGAACTGTGCTGCACAGATGAAACTCATCTAATCTCTTTCCTTCAATATGGCAGCAGCTAATACAGGAAAGACAGCTGAACTTGGTTACCAGAATGATGTCAAATAGTTGCCTCCCTTTCTTAGAAGTACAGTGGTACCTTGGTACTCAAACGGTTTGGATCCCGAACAAATCAGCTCTCAAATGTCGCAAACTCAGAAGTAAGTGTTCCGGTTTGCAAATGCTTTTCGGAAGCCAAACGTCCGACGTGGCTTCGCTTGAGTGCAGGAAGCTCCTGCAGCCAATCAGAAGCCATGCCTTGTTTTTGAACGGTTTCGGGAGTCAAATGGACACTCAGAATGGATTAAGTTTGAGAACCAAGGTATGACTGTACAGCTCCTGTTATGACAGTTGCTAACCTGGAGGGACTACAGTGGTACCTCGGCTTACAGACACTTCAGTTTACAGACTCCGCTAACCCGGAAGTAGTACCTCAGGTAGAGAACTTTACCTCAGGATGAGAATGGAAAGTACGTGGCGGCGGCACGGCAGCAGCGGGAGGACCCATTCCCTAAAGTGGTACCTCAGGTTAAGAACGGTTTCAGGTTAAGAACGGACCTCCAGAACGAATTAAGTTCTTAACCTGAGGTACTACTGTATAGTTTTTGGCTGGAGCTGAGTCCAGGCATGATGGATGGGTGCCTCGCTCTTAGCTCCTTTTGTGCTATCAGCTCAGCTGGAAGGTACTCAGAACACTTGCCCAGGAATAGCCTAATGAATTTTTTATATTTTTGAGATATCGCATAAAATAAATGTTCCAATTGCCACACAATGAAACGTAATGTGCCTCAGCCTGTTGAATCATTTGAACATATAAACACAACTGCTAACTCCACAATACGCGGTTTGAGAATGGCATTATCTTAGCTCCCCGCCCCCGCCCCCCGCCCCCCCTCCCCCCGTTTTGGCCGCTTATGGAAAAAGAGCATTTGAAAGCCATTATAAAAATTCATTCTCTTTATACGAGAAGTGATTCTGTTGCACTTAGTGTTGTTCGGAACAAAACACCAAAATGACATACATTTTGTTTATCAGAAAAGTGTTTTCGTTAAAATTAGTACTTCTTGTTTCTCAAATCTTTCTGTGTTTTTCAGATTGCCTTTCAGAACGTTAGTCCGGAAATACAACTGTGATTTATGCTACACTCCAATGATTGTTGCGGCCGATTTTGTCAGATCTGTAAAAGCTAGACACAGTGAATTTACTACAAACCAGGGTATTGTGTTTGCATTTCTTCAGATTTCATTAGATAAAATGCAAGGGCCACTTTGGGCCCTTTTTTGATGCTCCTTAAGCTAGGGGTCTGTATAAAGTCCTACGAAATTACTTTTATTTAAGCTAAAGTCCTGTATACAATGAGCACTAAGACTTATAGTTCTGAGTAAACATGCATAGGATTGCAGCATCACCAGAACAGCTGGATTCCCACCTTAGTTCCATCAAACTCCAGACATAACTATGTTTTTGACATCACAAATTCTAGCTGCCATGCAATAATTGATAGAACACATTTTACTACCACACACATTATGCTCCAGCCCATGGCATGCTGTTCCTCTCTGTACCCTACATATGCCTGCATTTTTATGAGGCTTGACTGCTTGAGTAAGGACACGGAATTATAGATGGTTGTTCTGGCATAGCAGGGAACTTTTGCGGATAATGTCCCCAGCTTCCCCCTCCCCACTTTCTTCACTTATTTATTATTATTATTAGCAACATTATTATTATTCAGTTTATTATTTACCCGCAGGTTCTATGTGTTGATGTAGTATAACAGCTAACGGTCCAGTCCTATGCATGTCTACTCAGAAGTAAGTCTCATTAAATGAGTTGGGACTTACTCCCAGGGAAATGTGCAGGGAACCTTTGGCCAGATGTACAACTCCTGCCATTCCTGGCCATTGGCCATCCTTGTTGGGACGGATGAGAGCTGTAGTTCAACATCTGGAGGGCCAGAGGTTCTCCACACCTGGTGCATAGGGTGGTAGCCTAACTGTGCCTGAAATCCGGGCATTCCTGAATCGAATCTCGCACAAAATCAGTAAGCGACGTTAAGCAAGCCTCTGTCTTGCACCCTCAGCCATCCATCTGCAACATCTTATTTTGAAAAATTATCAAGACTTCATGATTTACATCCTAAGATAATTGAAATAAATTTGTGGAAGGAAAGTGTGGCGATCGCACACAGGGCCCCCGGACGTTTGACGGTCTATTGACCCTGTGCCGCCACTGCGATTGCTTTTTCCGCTGCCACCGCCCCGTATCTCACGGGACACATGGAGTCCAGTCAGTTGTTAACATTAACAAATAATCAAGTTTATTTTTAAATGCAGGAACAAGCTTATGGTTTCAGTTAGTTTTTCTTGACAGTTTCTTAATCTTAGTTCCTAACAATTTCAAACTGATTATTCCAACTATCTATCTGACTCCACCTAACAATTCCTCTCACTCTCTCACAATACAACTCTACCAACCCACACCTAATCCTCCCTCTTCCTTCTTCAACTCCCAAACCTCAACTGACTTTCATAACCCCCCCACTCTAACTTTTACTCCTCCCTTGCATTCCCACTGGCCAATCACATCACACACTCATTTAACCCTTTCCTTATGACCCACCTAGGAGGCAAATACCACCAAAAGTTTTCCATTTTCTCCCCCTCTTACAGCCACCTGCACCCCCTGAACACTTTCCCAGAGGGTCGTCCTGACCAATGTAGCATGTGGGGGGCAGGCCCCATTCCTGCAGAAGGGAATAATTGCCCAATTTTGACCCGAACCCTGCCCACTTTTGAGTGATTTCTCCCTCTCTCAGCAGATCCCCATCCCATATCGTTCAAGTGTGTCCCTGCCCCTTTGGTGGCTGGCAGAGCTGGGGTGTGTGAGAAAAGTTTTCCTCCCATGAATATCCTTAAATTAACCCTTAAATCTTAGAATCAGACCCAATACATTGTATGTGTATATGTGGTGTATTTTTTCATGATTATGAAATGTCATTTTATCAGGTGATCGCCCTCTGATTGTTCAGTTTGCCGCTAAAGATGCACAAGTTCTAGCCGATGCTGCTTGTATCATCAGTCCCTTTGCCAATGGCGTAGATGTAAATTGTGGCTGTCCACAGAGGTAAAATTTTAAGAAACTCAGGGAGCAATGAGTAAACTGTTTAACTTTTTAAATTTCAGGTATTTATATCCTGCATTTCTGGACATAAACAAAGTATAAAACACGAGAAAAACATCTCATTGCTATTACAAAATGTTAAAGAGCAGTCCAAAAACAATATACAGCCTAGCATCATTTGCATAAATCCATTAAAATGCAGATTTTAACAAGAAAGGTACAGTTTAAACCGGTAGAGCTGAAAAATAGAGCTACCACTCAACAGGCCTGCCAGCCTAATAGATCTTAATTGTGGGCCTACAAGCAGGGTCTCTGTGGCCAACAGGTTTGCATAGGTGCAGATAAGTCTCTGAATAATCTGGCCTCAAATTATATAACTTTTTATGAATTCACAATTAATGTAATTGGTTGATAATGATTTAACTTCAGGAAGAGCATTTCTGCGTCAACGTTTGACTGAAACGAACCATTAAATAGAGGCTAACTATAAACTTATGAGGGGACGCGGGTGGCGCTGTGGGTTAAACCACAGAGCCTAGGACTTGCCAATCAGAAGGTCGGCAATTCGAATCCCCGCGACGGGGTGAGCTCCCGTTGCTCGGTCCCTGCTCCTGCCAACCTAGCAGTTCGAAAGCATGTCAAAGTGCAAGTAGATAAATAGGTACCACTCCGGCGGGAAGGTAAACGGCGTTTCCGTGCGCTGCTCTGGTTCGCCAGAAGCGGCTTAGTCCTGCTGGCCACATGATCTGGAAGTTGTACGCCGGCTCCCTCGGCCAATAAAGCGAGATGAGCGCCGCAACCCTAGAGTCGGCCACGACTGGACCTAATGGTCAGGGGTCCCTTTACCTTTTATAAACTTATGAGGTTGTATCCAACATGCTACTCAGCTTGACAGTAAGGTTTATACCAGCAAAGCAGGTAGGGAAGCAATAATATTCCTAACCCCTAAATCTGCTCCAGATGGTTGAGGGACACTTCTGAGCTGATAGGTGAAGCTGTAAAGGGGAATCACTGGAGATAGCTTCGCTGCCTATCCTGTAAGAGAAGCCAAGCAACACTGTTAGATACAACCACTGAATACAGTGGTGCCTCGCAAAACGAAAAACTCGCAAGACGAAAGAGTTTTCCGTTTTTGAGTCGTTCCGCAAGATGAATTTCCCTATGGGCTTGCTTCACAAGAAGAAAGCCCATAGGGAAATCTCCGGGGACCTCTTTTAAATGCTGGCGGTGGGGAGCAAAGCCTTTCGCCCCCCTCCGGCCTTCAGAAGAGGTCCAGGAAGGCCGGCGGGGGCTGAAAGGCTTTGCTCCCCACCGCCAGCATTTTAAAAGCGGTCTGGGATAGCAGGGAATTGCGCTGCGCTTTCCCGCTATCCCGGACCGCTTTTAAAATGCTGGCCGTCGGGAGCAAAGACTTTCGCCCACCGCCGGCCTTCAGAAGAGGTCCTGGACCTCTTCTGAAGGCCGGCGGGGGGCAAAAGTCTTTGCTCCCCCCCGCCTGCCTTCCCGGGACAGCGAAGACTTCTCCGCTGTCCCGGGGCCATCTTAAAATGCTGGCGGGCGGCAGCGAAGCCCTCCTGTCCCCGGAGCTTGCGGGGCGGGAGGTGGGGAGAAGGGCTTTTCTTCCCACCGCCAGCCTTCAGAACAGCCTTCTGAAGGCTGGCAGTGGGAAGAAAAGCCCTTGTCCCCGTCCCCCCCAGCCTTCAGAAGAGGTCGGGGGACAGACTGTCCCCGGACCTGGTCTGAAGGCGGTTTCCATAGGAACGCATTGATTGATTTTCAGTGCATTCCTATGGGAAACCGTGCTTCGCAAGACGAAAAACTCGCAAGAAGAAAAAACTTGCGGAACGAATTAATTTCGTCTTGCGAGGCACCACTGTATGTGCAGAATCCTGGCTGCTTTCCATGGGTGTTTGCAGACTGGATTTTTTCCCAGAGGAGGCAAAGTCAAATACTTCCGATAAATAAACATAGCATGGTAACTAGTGTTAGAGACCATTTCTGAAGCTCTAGTGACTGACATGAGGTCTGGGTAGATTTGACCCCTGAGAAACTTGTATTTCTTGGTGGGTAGATAAGCAGTCAATTTATAGCTGGACCTAGTGTGTAGATGTCTTTCAGGCAATGCTGGAATCTTCAGGTCTTTCTCTGTCTCTGTTCAACTCCTCCAGCCTTCAAGGTTTGGTTGCATCAGAATCTCAAAAGATATCTTACTAAATATACAGAATATGGTGAGTGCTTTGTTTTAATATAGGGTTTAAACTAGTGTTGCCATATTTCAAAAAGTAAAAACCAGGACACCCCAAAAGTTGTTGAGCTTTGAGGTTTTTTTAGGAAGACTGCCAAACTGTTGAGCTCCACCCCACCCCACCCCAAAATAATAAAAATTGTTGAGCTTGTTTTAGGAAACCTCCAAAATTGCTGACCTTTTTTTTTATTATTATAAAATATTTATTGAAGGTTTTAGACATTATAATCACCAAACACATATAGAGCCATCACCAGAATACAATAAACAAAGAAAAACACAAGAAAGGAAAAGAATTGACACATAATACAAAAAAAATACCACATCAAAATCAAATAGTTAATAACCATACTTTCTTCACTTTTTGGACTTCCTCACATCTCTCGTTCCTGCGTTCCTAGTTTATAAAATTTTAAACAGCAATTTATCACCTTGTTTCGATTCTTATTTTGTAATTTTCCAGTATTGTGTCTCAACTTTAAATACTTTTATCAAGATTTTAAATACTTAATTTAGACATACTATTAATCCTAAATTTGTCTTTTTCTCAGATTTCACCTACTCTCATATTCCTTTCAACTAGCTTACTGATGCCATGTTATTTTCAATCTTACATCCTTCTTAGCACTCATACAGTTTACAATGTTTTTGTAAATAGTCTTTAATTTTTTCCAATCCTCTTCCACTGCTTCTTCTCCCAGGTCTCGGATTCTGCCAGTCATTTCTGCTAGTTCCATATAGTCTATCAGTTGCATCTGCCACTCTTCCAGCGTGGGCAAATCTTGGGTTTTCCAATGTTTGGCGATAAGTATTCTTGCTGTTGTTGTTGCATACATAAAGAATGTTCGGTCCTTCTTTAACACCCTCTGGCCAACAATGCCCAAAAGGAAGGCCTCTGGTTTCTTAGGGAAGGTATACTTAAACACCTTTTTCAACTCATTATATATCATTTCCCAGAAAGCCTTGACCCTAGGGCAGGTCCACCAGAGGTGAAAGAACGTTCCTTCAGTTTCTCTACATTTCCAACATTTATTATCAGGCAAGTGATATATTTTTGCAAGCTTGACTGGGGTCATGTACCACCTGTAAATCATTTTCATAATATTTTCTTTTAAGGCATTGCATGCCGTGAACTTCACACCGGTGGTCCATAACCTTTCCCAGTCAGCAAACATGATATTATACCCAATGTCCTGTGCTCATTTTATCATAGCTGATTTAACCGTTTCATCTTGTGTGTTCCATTTTAACAGCAAGTTGTACATTTTTGAAAGTACCTTGGTCTTAGGTTCTAACAGCTCTGTTTCTAACTGCGATTTTTCCACCTGGAATCCTATCTTTTTATCCAAATTAAAAACCTCTTTAATTTGAGCATAGTGTAGCCAATCTCGCACTTTATCTTTTGATTTCTCCAAACTCTGCAACCTCCAAGTATCTCCATCCTTTTCTAATATTTCCCAATATTTCGGCCATTTAGCCTCCATATTGAGTCTTTTCCGGCCTTGGCTTCCATTGGTGACAGCCACCTTGGGGTCTTGTTTTCTAATAAGTCTTTGTATTTTATCCAAACGTTAAACACTGCTTTCCTGACAATATGGTTGTTGAAAGCCTTGTGACTTTTAACCTTGTCGTACCACAAATATGCATGCCATCCATAGACATTGTTAAATCCCTCCAGATCTAAAACGTCAGTGTTCTCCAGAAGCAGCCAGTCTTTCAACCAGCAGAAAGCTGCTGATTCATAATACAACCTTAAAATTGCTGAGCTTTTTTAAGGGAAACCTAAAATTTGACGCGGGTGGCGCTGTGGGTTAAACCACAGAGCCTAGGGCTTGCCGATCAGAAGGTCAGCGGTTTGAATCCCGCAATGGGGTGAGCTCCCGTCGCTCGGTCCCTGCTCCTGCCAACCTAGCAGTTCGAAAGCACGTCAAAGTGCAAGCAGATAAATAGGTACCGCTTCAGCGGGAAGGTAAACGGCGTTTCCGTGCACTGCTCTGGTTTGCCAGAAGCGGCTTAGTCATGCTGGCCACATGATCTGGAAGCTGTACGCCGGCTCCCTCGGCCAATAAAGCGAGATGAGCGCCGCAACCCCAGAGTCGGTCACGACTGGACCTAATGGTCAGGGGTCCCCTTTACCTTAAAATTTGTTAGACGAACCTCAAAGTTGTTGAGCTTTCTTTTACAAAAACACCAAAAAACCAACAATTTTTCAACTGACTTGTCTAAGATCCAGAACAAAGCACTGCCTTTCGGAAATTCCCCCGGACGTCAATTCTGCCTCTGAAATCCCCATAATGTCCAGGAGTATCCAGACATATGGCAGCCCTAGTTTAATCCTTCTATAACAAAGGAAACTTGTTAGAAAATTAGTCTGAATTTCCTGAAACCCTCATGTCATCATTTTCCTTCTTCACAAGAATGGTAAAAGGAAAAATTAAGCCATCTATTCTAATATGCAAACATTATTTTGTTATTTCAATTCAAGGTGGGCTATGGCAGAAGGTTTTGGTGCTTGCCTAATAAACAAACCAGAACTGGTGCAAGAGATGGTGAGGCTGGTCAGAAATCAAGTGGAAAACCCCATGTTTTCAGTATCTATTAAGATAAGGTAAGTTTTGATACCACCTACATAAAAAATACAATAAAAGTGTAATTGACCAAGTGTAGAGGAAGTTCCTTACTTGTCACTCAGCCAAACCTACCTCACACGACTTTTGTGAGGATAAAATGAAAAGGGGGGCGGGTGTTATTTCATTAATTTATTAATTACCTTTCACATAAGTCTCAAGGCACTCTAAAACCAAACAATAACAACTAAAATAGGTTAACAACATTTAATTAATGAGTTGAAATATAATTCTTAAATTTTTGAACATTCCCCATTTTTTCCTCGGTTCTGAACTCTCTGCCATTTTTTCATGCCATTCAGATAATACATGCTGAATTTTGATGTTTTTGTTATTTGTAATGCTAGGATTCATGATGACCTAAAGAGAACTGTAGACCTGTGTCAGAAAGCGGAAGCAGCTGGAGTGTCCTGGATTACAGTCCATGGGAGAAATGTAGAAGAAAGACACCAGCCAGTACACTATGATGCAATTAAAATAATTAAACAAAGTATGTCTATACCGGTGATAGCTAATGGTGACATTAAATCTTTAAAAGATGTGAAGGACGTGCATCAAAAAACAGGAACAGATGGTAAGAACAACTTGTGGGCTCATTTGGGCTCTGCCCTCTCAATAAATGGGAAATATATGTGTATATTTTATCCCTGGCATTAAACTTGAATTGTTTGCAAGAAATGAGTTAAGATGGAAGGTAGTTTTAATGGATTGGTTCACTTAGTATCCATAAAGCAATGTTTCTAAAGCTACAGTCCTACGCCCACTTACCTGGGAGGAAGTCCCATTGAAAACTGCGGAATTTACTTGCAAGTAAACAGGCGTAGGATGGCACTGTTAAACTACAATTCTAAGCAGAGTTACTGAGGCATAAACGCCATTGAACTTGGGAGCAGTTACTTCCAAGTAAACATGCATAAGATTTCACTGTAATAATAATAATTAATAATTTTTATTTATACCCCGCCCTCCCCAGCCAAGGCCGGGCTCAGAGCGGCTTACAAGCAATAATAAAAACAAGAAGAATGATTACAACTTAAAAACAAAATTAAAATACAACATTAAAATATTGAAACATTAAAATATTAAAATGTAGCCTCATTGCAGGAGAAGAAGGAAAAGAAAAAAGAAAGAGAGGGAGGGAATCAAATTGGCTCCAAGCCAAAGGCCAGGCGGAACAACTCTGTCTTACAGGCCCTGCGGAAAGAAATCAGATCCTGCAGGGCCCTGGTCTCATGAGGCAGAGCGTTCCACCAGGCCGGAGCCAGAGTTGAAAAGGCCCTGGCTCTGGTTGAGGCTAATCTACCATAATTTAGGGCCCGGGACCACTAGGGTGTTGCAATTTATGGACCTTAAGGTCCTCCGTGGGGCATACCGGGAGAGGCGGTCCCGTAGGTACGAGGGTCCTAGGCCGTGAAGGGCTTTAAAGGTCAAAAGCAGCACCTTAAATCTGACCCTGCACTCCACCAGGAGCCAGTGCAGCTTGAAAAGCACTGGGTGAATATGCTCCCAAGGCAGAGACCCCGTGAGGAGCCTCGCTGCAGCATTCTGCACCCGCTGAAGTTTCTGGGACAGCTTCAAGGGCAGCCCCACGTAGAGCGAATTACAGTAGTCAAGCCTGGAGATGACCGTCGCATGGATCACTGTAAGAAAAGTAAATGTGTGAATACATAAAAGTGTAGCATACAGGGAGGTCAAAAAGTAAATATGTGAACTAGAACAGAGTGACTAAACATAAAATATGCATATATCAACTGTAGCAGATGGAAAGGTTATCTGGCAGCTGTGTGGGAAAGCGACAGAGATTATCACTTTATTTTTCACTGCGAAAGAACTGAGGACAAAATTAACTTTAGGTCAGAGTTATAAGTATGTTAATAAGTGCAGTTGTAATTGAAAGTAAAAAACCCCGTGTTCACAGTATTTCTAAATTGGACCGATGTGGGGCTGAAATATATTTAGATGACCTAGGACTAAATTTGGCACTGTACAGAGTTAGTACATGCTGGAGACTCCCAAGTGCCTTACAAAAGTGTCCACTGTGTTGCAATACAGTCATGCATGTTTACTTAGAAGTAACTCCCACTGTTTTCAATAGAAATTGCTCACAAGTAAGTGTTTGAAGGGACGTGGGTGGTGCTGTGGGTAAAACCTCAGTGCCTAGGACTTGCCGATCGCATGGTCGGCGGTTCGAATCCCCGCAGCAGGGTGAGCTCCCGTCTTTCGGTCCCAGCTCCTGCCCACCTAGCAGTTCGAAAGCACCCCTAAGTGCAAGTAGATAAATAGGTACCGCTTTATAGCGGGAAGGTAAACGGCGTTTCCGTGTGCTGCGCTGGTGCTGGCTCGCCAGAGCAGCTTCGTCACGCTGGCCACATGACCCGGAAGTGTCTTTGGACAGCGCTGGCCCCCGGCCTCTTAAGTGAGATGAGCGTACAACCCTAGAGTCGGACACGACTGGCCCGTATGGGCAGGGGTACCTTTACCTTTACCTTAAGTATTTGAAGGGAGTGCAGTTGTAATATCTGAAGAAGCAGTCCCTTTTACTTCTTCATCTCCCAAATTACATCCTCTCTTCCCATTTCCAGTCTGTTCCATCTTTCCTTTGTTCTTACTTTCTTTCCCTCCCTCCCTCCCATTTAGACATATAACCAAAGCCTTTTGTTAAGCCCTGCTGACAAAAATGCCACTGTCATATTATTAGACTTGCAACTTCTAAGGGTATCTGATTTAACTAAACTCCCATGGTAATGTATCCAACACAGGGCATTAAAACAAATAAGATAATCATGTGCAGTTTTATTTTATTGTTTGTATTCCTTTCCATGCTAGGTATCATGGTTGCTAGGGGGCTTTTAGCCAATCCTGCCATGTTTGCAGGCTATGAAGAAACGCCTCTGCGGTGCCTGCAAGACTGGGTCGATATTGCTCTTGAACATGGGACTCCTTTTGCATGCTTTCACCACCATTTAATGTACATGCTGGAAAGGATTACTTCAAAGCAAGAAAAGAAAGTTTTCAATGTTTTATCAAGTACATCGGCTGTTTTAGACTACCTTAGAAATAACTACGGTGTGCACTAACTTTAAAATATAAAGACTTCGATTTCATTGTTCTACAATGGGACGTTAAACTCAGAATATTTTATTTTTCTATATGAAAAATGTTTTTATCTCTGAATTGTTCTTACCGGAGTCCCTCAGATGAATGTGCTTACAATGTTTTAACATGTTCTTAATAATAAAGCTGTACAAATGTCACATTGGACGCAGTCGTGCCTGAGATTATTAAGGTCCATGCAATATCACTTCACGTCGACATTCGTTTCAATAGGGTGTACTCGAGACCTGTAGCTAATAGCCAATTTAAAATCTTCAGTGATCATTTAGTTACATATAGTTCCTTCAAAGTGATATCTGTAAGATTTTTGGAATCAAGCACTCCTTTGGTGTCCTACGTGTATCTGACATGGTATACATGTGGCTTATTAAACAATGGAATAAAAAACGGTTGAAAAATACACTTGACTAAGAGATTTGAGAAAAGATGGTACGTTTAAGTGATCTGAGAAGGAGTTTCAGTGAGAAAGGATAGGGATAGAGATAACTGCCCTCCTGGCTATGGGGCAGGGCAGGTTGATGGATCTGGACCAGGACAGTCATGGTATGGTGGTATAGAGAAGACCCAGGCCTTCTCTATATATGCAAGACATATACAACTTTTTAACCCAGGAAAATCTCAAAAGTCGGGGGTCATCTTATACGGCGAGTATATCCCAAACTCTATATTTTAACTGGACTTACATAATAGGAGCCTACACAGCACAAAAGACTGTTGCTGTATGTAGGTTTTCTTTTATTTGTTTTTTATCTTATATTTTGGAAATGTACATCCAGTTTTTTCCCCTTTAATTTTTTGGGGGCCCCCAAGAGTGTGTGGTCCTAAGCCAGGCTTCCTCAACCTCGGCCCTCCAGATGTTTTCAAACTACAATTCCCATCATCCCTAACCACTGGTCCTGCTAGCTAGGGATCATGGGAGTTGTAGGCCAAAAACATCTGGAGGGCCGCAGGTTGAAGAATCCTGCCCTAAGCTATAGCTTGTTTAGCTTATACGTAAATCCAGCACTGTAGAGGGCGGAATATAAATTCAATCAATAAATGAAATAAATAAGAATAGCCGGCGAATCCAGAGGCTGTAACATTTAACCCAGGCATCCCCAAACTCGGCCCTCCAGATGTTTTGGGGCTACAATTCCCAACATCCCAGACCTTTTTATGAATGGGTGGGATTTGTGGTGGAAAAAGAGGAGAGAGCCCGCTTTTGATTTTTTAACTACAGTTAAGCAATTGTCCTATTTATGTTTCCACTGACCTCTTAATTGCTTGTGGGCTCAGTTGCCATATACCAGGCATAGGCAAACTCGGCCCTCCAGATGTTTTTGAGACTACAATTCCCATCATCCCCGACCACTGGTCCTGTTAGCTAGGGGTGATGGGAGTTGTAGTCCCAAAACATCTGGAGGGCCGAGTTTCGGGATGCCTGTTTTAAACCGTGCCTCCCTTGCACGAAGAAAACTAGCAGGTCAGGGAATGAGAGAGTAAGCTTCTACCATCTCCCTGGGCCTGTTGCTTTTCTCCTGGCGAGGGAGGCCTGCTCGCTTTTCGCCACGGAGCGGGAAGCCGTGTTCTCCCCACGCCACACCGAGCGGGGTCCGCCTCGGTCCCCTCACACACAGCCCGCCTTCCCCGCCGGGCTCGGGCCTCCTCTCGAGCGAAAGCGCCGCCGGGGCTTGGAGCGTCGCCGAGGCCTCCCATTCGCTGCCAGGCCCGCGCTCCCCGCCTTCTCCCCAGCCGCCTGTTGGGGCTCCGCCGCTCGGCCCGCCCGGCCTCCTGCAGCCGCGCCTCCCTTTCCCCTCCCTCCGCCCCGCAGTTTCCGCCGCCGCCGTCGACGACGACTCGCGTGTGGCGGGCAGAAAGCGCTCGCGGAGCTGCGGGTCGAGGCCGCAGGACCCCGGAGGACGCCTCTCTCCCTTCGGGTGATGAAGGCAGGAGGGAAAAGGCCGCAGCAGCAGCAGCAGCGCCTCTTTGGAAAGCGGGGTAAAAGAGAGGAAGAAAGTTAACCCGGGGTCCGTCCTTCCCCCGCCCAACGGCTGCAGAGGCTTCCCCTCAGAATTGGTGGCGGAGGGGAATTTTGAAGCGTGAAAGGGCCATGAGTGTTGTGTACCCCGGGGTGGGGAAGGGGCGTGTTGTACCCCGGGGTCGGTGGGGAAGGGGCGCGGGTGCGTGTGAGGAGAACGAAATCTCTTCCCGACACGTATCTGTGGCAGTTACGGCGTGACAGAATCGGATTCATCCCTTGTACTCCGGTCGACAAACTCGGGGGCGGCAATGGGGTCGTTTGAACGCGGACTGCAGGGCTTCCCCATATCCCATAGATCGCTGTCTTTTGGGGGGGGCGGGTCCCTTTTATTTTATTTTATTATATTATATTATATTATATTATTTATTTTATTTTATTATTTTATTATTTTATTTTATTATTTTGTTTTGTTTTGTTTTGCCCAATGTTGAACTGTCACGCCGGAAGCCCTTGTTTGTGTTGGGGGTCACATTAATCCGAAGCTCTTCAGCCTGCCTTTGTCTGTTTTGAAACCATGGTGATCTCTAACCGGGGCTTTTCCGTCTCTGCAGATCCCTCACAGATAAGATGACTTTCCAGTGGACAGCTGTTGCAGCCTTTCTCTATGCCGAAATAGCAATCTTACTCTTGCTCTGCCTCCCGATTATTTCTCCTCTGAGGTAAGGATATTGCCGCAGGGGAAATGACCGCCCGTTTCATCAGAAAATAAATGGAAAGAGAAAGTACAGATCGGATTGCAACATTGGCAGCGGGGTTTAGGACTGCCTTTTGCAAATTGTTTTGTGCTAGAAGCCCACAGGTTCCATTCATTGGTATTTATAAGAGCGTTTAAAAAGCTGACTTGATACTCCAGGGGCCGATATGTTTCATCTTTGCGTAACAGACAAAATAGCTGTGCTGAATCTCCCCAAAGCAATAAATAAAATAAGCTGAACTACTTCCAGTGAGATGAATGCCTGCTGGTGATAAGACAATCAAAATGGCAACTTTAAAAACTCTTATTTATTATTTGTATGTATTACCTTTGTTAAGTTTTCCCCCTAATTTTTGTGTATGTGTGTATGTGTGCTTTTTTCTTTAATTTTTTTTATTCTACCTCTTTAAAGTCTGATGCAGCTCCCACAATAATCTTAGCAAAAGCATATAACAGGCATTGAAAATTTGTAAGATTTACAACTCCATCTGTCACATGGTAGTAATGATAATACCACTGTTTTGCTGATGATGCTCAGAGGAGCTTCTTACAAATGTGGTCCTTGATCAGAATTAATATTGCATTGACAACAGTAATTGATAGTGGTCCATTGCCAGTGGTGACGTATTAGAATCTTTGGTCATGGTAGCAGTGTTCTTCTTTGCATCACAATAATTAGAATACAAATACCGTGCTGTTTGCTTGTATATATTTTCTGAAGAGAACCTATATAATAGTAACTTAATAATTTTTTTTTTAATACCTTGCCCATCTGGCTGGGTTGCCCCAGCCGCTCTGGGCAGCTTACAACACATAAAAACGTAATAAAGCATCAAACATTAATAGTAACAATCTGATCCAATATAAAAGTCACAATAACTTTAAAATAAACAACTTATATCAAACAAAGCAACATTCAGCAATACATCAGACTCTAATAGTAAACACTAAAATTAAACACCAAAAAATAATAATTAAACAGTTCAGAGTTATCAGCCACAATAAAGAATTACCAATCTACAATCAATAAAAATAACAGCAAATCACAATGCATAAAATACTACAAAACCGTGTAAAACAGGCACCCCCAAACTTGGCACTCCAGATGTTTTGGGACTACAACTCCCATCACCCCTAGCTAACAGGACCAGTTGTCAGGGATGTTGGGAATTGTAGTCCCAAAACATCTGGAGGGCCGAGTTTGGGGTAAAAGGATCAAATTGGGAAACAAAGACACACAACTTTGGGCTGCCACAAATTCTTAGCACAGGCGGAACTTTCTTAACTCTCCTTGACAAGTTGCCAGCTGACCAAACACTATAATCATCTTAGATTCCCTAAGTAAGTTATATAATCAACATTAATAAAGGGTTGTGTATATGAAAACTAAGATAAAGCAAAGATAATTCACATGGAATTTTGACTATGCCTCATAGTTTAAGCTGGATCAGAAGTGGTCTCATTAAGTTTAATGGGGCTTATTCCTAGGAGAAATTGCAACCTCAGATTTCTAAAGGGGTTTTCAAAACTCAGCAGCTGCTCTTTTTGCCACCAGTAACCTAAGACTGGGACGCGGGTGGTGCTGTGGGTTAAACCACAGAGCCTAGGACTTGCCAATCAGAAGGTCGGCGGTTCGAATCCTCGCGACGGGGTGAGCTCCCAGCTCCTGCCAACCTAGCAGTTCGAAAGCACATCAAAGTGCAAGTAGATAAATAGGTACCGCTCCAGCGGGAAGGCAAACAGCGTTTCCGTGTGCTGCTCTGGTTTGCCAGAAGCAGTTTAGTCATGCTGGCCACATGACCCGGAAGCTGTACGCCGGCTCCCTCGGCCAATAAAGCGAGATGAGCGCCGCAACCCCAGAGTCAGTCACGACTGCACCTAATGGTCAGGGGTCCCTTTACCTTTACCTTATCCTAAGACTTAGGAAGGAACACTGATTGGGATTTGAAGATCAGTATTATTTATTTATATCATTAGCATTTATCAGTCGCTTTATACAAAAGAAAAGTGTCAAAGCAACTTGACAGGATAAATAAAACAAATAAAAGCAATTTTTTAAAAGCCAAGAAAAGAGCCATTACATGCATCCTAACCTAATCAGACTATCTATAATATGTTGGTATGTTCACAGCAGTGGTCATCAACATTCATTCTTAACTGCTTGTTGCTGATTAAGAGACCTTTGTCCTTTTCCAGGGACTGTAGTTTCAGAGCTGTTTTTCCTGCTAGTCATCCAGAGTTAGGCAATATAAAGCCTACTTCTCAGATTCTTTCCTTTAGCTTTGTTTAAAAAACAGTTTTTGCTAAAAGTGACTAGATGCAATAAATATATATCAATGCCACCAGTTGAAGGTTTGATTATGCATGTTAGTGTGATAGTTTTACTAATAAGATAATTGAAGGTGTGATTTAAATACACACATCAAGGGATTTTCGTCTTCAGAATAAGGCTTTAAGAGGATCTGAAAGCAGCAAATTAGTCTCATTAAACCTGGATGCTAAAGATACCTAGTCTATCTCATTAGAAGCAAGCAGCCTTGGCAGGTCTAGACTCTGAATTCCATAAGTTATACCTGTTACCATCATTGTAGCTGTAATGTGATGAACAAAGGGATTTTCTATCTGTCAGTTCTTGGAGATACAGGAACCTCCTCAGGGTTTGGGCCCAGTAATACTGTCTGTACTATATTGCAGAATTTTTGTGTACTTTATACTTGCAACTACAGAGAAATTGCATTTTCATTTCAAGCTGTACAGTACGATTGCATATTGTGTGCAATTAACTTGCACAATTTCAGCCTTATGCAGTTGAAAGCTGGCCAGCTGAAATCCCACAAATTAATTACACAGAAGGCGGACATCTTAAAACGCCTTTTGCACTGGGCTTTCTCAGCATGGAAAGAGCTTTTAAGCTTTCTGTCTTGCTTACCGGGTTCTGTAATGCTCTCATTAAATCCTGGGCAGTCCTGCAAGATCTTGTATGAATACCCCAGAATCTCTGTGAGAGCACCCCAGAGCCTGGTAAGCAAGGCAGAGAGATTATGATGATGATGTTTTATTAACTTTTTATACCACCCTTCATCCAACAATCACAGGGCAGTTTACAATATAAAATACATGCCACAATAACAAACAAAAACAACACCCCACCTCCCGTTTAAAAGTTCTCTGTCTTTCTTGGATGGTGAGGATGGTCATGTGGGGGCGGTTCCAAGGGGGTGGTTTGAATATACAGTACATATTTTTGCATATATGTTTCCCCCCCACGCATAACCCCTGTGCAAGATGCCATTGTACTGTACTGTAATATTTAAAGGTGCTGAAAAATTATTCAGTGGATTATAGCGTGCACTTTAAAAATGCTTACATAGTACAGTAGTCTTTTTACAAATGAAGCTTCTTTGAAACACTTCAATTTTGTTTTACAGATGGGAGAAGGTTTTTATGATCTCTGTGTGGAGCAGAATTAAAAACTATTGGAACAAGGGGTTTCTTACAATTATAGTTCTGTTAATTGTTTTATTTCTGGGTGAGTTGGAAATCTCTCTTGTTTGTATTAGTATTCATATGCATGTAAGTGAACCAACAAAGTTAATGTGTTTGAGGGATTATTACATTTACTGTGAGTTATCTTTGCTGTGAATAGTTTGAGAAACCAAACAAAAAAGTTAGTGTTACACTTTTTGAACCTGAGGATGTAACAAGCCGTGTTCTGCTAGCATGTTAGCAGATAACAAAACAGAATTCAGATTTGGTATGGGAGACCCAGTGAACACTTGTGGCAGGAAGTGATTTTGAAGTAATCAGTAGGTGGCGCTATTTCTCTTTGGACTAATGCTTGAACTAAGAGAATTGTGCAGTGAGGTTTCTGGGAATTTTACTGAGCTCTGTCATCACTGACTTTGTTTTTTTGGAGGAAGGGAAAGAGCATTGCATTTTTAAGCTACTGCTAAATATGGAATTGAATGTGTTCCCTGATGATTACAAAGTTAGCTATATCTTGTAGCTTGTGGTTTTTAAGTGCTATATATTAAACATCTGTTAAGAAAAGCCATCCTTTTAAAATATAAGTAACATTACTATTTTATAAAATTGCTTAATCATAAAGCTTGCTGTAGGTTACAGATGATTTCCGTGGTCATTACTTGATACACAGTCAAAGTCTTTGCTCTGTGTCCACAGAAAGTACAAATCTACTGCCAGAGGGATTCCCACTGCCAGTAGCCAGAACAGGGCAGCTATACTAATAAAAGTTAAAGAAGTTTTATCGGGGGGGGGGGGGGACAAAAGCTTTTTGATGCAGAAGCATTGTGTACAATAATTGATAAAAGAAGGCAACGGAAAACAAATGCAAGTAACTCTCTCTTTTTTACTCGTAGATGCTGTAAGAGAGGTGAGGAAATACTCAAATGTTAACTTAAGTGATAAAACTGCACATAGAAGTGCCAATGCATTGGATCACATTCAGATGAAACTTTTTCGGTCACAACGAAATCTTTATATCTCAGGATTCTCTCTGTTTCTTTGGCTGTAAGTATAGTTATGTACTACTTACTACTTAGTAATTCTGTTTTGTGCCTCTTGTAAGAAACTTGGTCCAAAATGGGGGGGGGGGGAAGCATGACTCAAACCCCAAGTTTGTAAACATAATAATAATATGCAAGTTGGGTGAGTGAAAATGGAGGGTAATGGTAATTTATGCATGTTTGAGAGAGACAGATTTACTAATGGAAGTAAATAATTAAAAAGGATATATTAAATATGGGGAAATGAATATGACTCCCCCAAATGCTGTATTCTGAATTTATACAGTCCTCTCACAGAATTGTACTACAGTGGTACCTCGGGTTACATACGCTTCGGGTTACATACACTTCAGGTTACAGACTCCGCTAACCCAGAAATATTACCTCGGGTTAAGAACTTTGCTTCAGGATGAGAACAGAAATTGTGTGGCAGCGGCAGCAGGAGGCCCTATTAGCTAAAATGGTGCTTCAGGTTAAGAACAGTTTCAGGTTAAGAACGACCTCCGGAACGAATTAAATATGTAACCAGAGGTACCACTGTATTTCAGAAGACAGATGGTAGTATCGGTTGTTTCAAAACACCGCCTCTTGCATCATAATTTTTCTGCAGATGAAAGGCTTGCTAGTAAGGTTCTCATATGTACCTCCCATGGTACTATGATCCTGTTTGTTTGAATAGGATTGTAAAATCCTATTCTGAAGCTGGATGACTCTAGGATTTAACACAACAGATATTCTGATAGAATACCCCAAACGCACAGGTAGAACATTAGCAAAGCAGCCAAAATCGGTTAGAGTCTCGGGTTGGACATGGGCAGGACATGGGCAGTATAGAAGTTTAGGGCTGCCTTATGTCCTGGACCAGGGGTCAGCAAGGTTTATCTTGCCTGGGCCGGATCGGTCCCGTGGAGATCCCTCTGTGGGCCAGATTGCACGCGCGCCCACGATTTTCTGCGCATGTGCAGACGCGATTTTCAGTGCCGTGGAAGCAAGTTCGGAGGCAGCTCATGGGCCAGTCAAACAACCTCTGTGGGCTGCATCCAGCCCATGGGCCTTTGGTTGCTGACCCCTGTCCTGGACATTACCGGGATTTCAAAGGATGTGATGCCTGGGGGGGGGATTTCCGGAGGGCAGCGGTTTGTCCTGGATCTTTGGCAAGTAAACTGAGAAATCAACACTATATTGTATGTCGCAAGCATGGGAAACCCATAGGTTGAATGTGGGCCACAGGCAGATTTTATCTGGCCTCCAGTTCTTGCAGTCATAACCTGATGGTTCAGTAGGGAGGAGAAAGGGCTTTGCCTTTGTGCAATTGCAGCTCGTTCCTCTGCAAGTAGATCAAAGCAATGTCTCTGCAGACTTGCATTCCTCGCAAGTATAGGAAAAGTAGTACAGAAAAAGTAGTACATGCATTTTGCAATTTCATGCAATTTTCAGGCTGCAATTGCATTTTAAATAGCTATAAAACAGGGCTTGGAGTTCAGCAGTACATTGACCTTATTTGCACTCCCTTGGGATTACTGTTGAGATTCTACCTTGCGCACAGTCAGGCCCAAGAAAGGTTGTCGGAGAACTTTGTTTTCTTTCAAACTTCACTTTTTAAGCCTGTGAGGAAAGTAAAAGGCGAAACTCTAGTGGAGCTACTAAGAATTAAACGTATGCATCTATTGTAATGAAAAAATAGCTTTTTTTGCATGTGATTTTGTGTGGGTGGAATAGTTACTGATAGTTTTTCTCTGGGGTAAGGCGGCACTCCTCCTGAAAAAGGTTCCTCACCCATTCTGTACTCCTGCAGTCTAGGGCCACGATATGTCAGTTTTGGCATTTCCTTGTTTGCTTCTCCTTTCTCCACATACTAAGTTCATTCCGTTGGCATAACTGGCGTATCTCTTTCCCCGAGCACAATGTGAGTACGTATAGGATTTCTATGCTCTCTGATTTAACTGCAACTAGCGAAACTGAAACTACCTTTACTGCTGCGGAGTTCAGACAATAAACCAGGGGAAAGAGTGGTGGCTAATGAGATGTATTTTTAACATTGTCAGAAAGTATTTTTATTTTCTGAATAGCGATGGCTATGTGGCAATAACTGGGGCTCACATCTAGTGTTTAGATAAAATGACTTCAAAGCACCTGGCCAATCTAGGTCCTGGTTCAGCTGTAAGTTGTAGTAAAATGTAAAATAAATGTAAAAAATAAAGCAGTTCATGCATCTTTTCTCAGCATTTAAAGTAAAAAGTTATTGAAGACTTAAAAAAAATTATAACACAACTTATACATTGATATTGTATTCTTTTCTAATGGGTTCATGGCTTTTCTGGTTTCCACAGTGTACTGAGACGTACCATTTCTCTTATCACTTCATTGGCAAAAAAGATGGGAGACCAGAAAGCTCTAGAAATGGAAGTAGAAAATATCAACAAAGTTGCCAAAAAGTGCTTGGAAGAGAATGAAAAACTTCAAGTATGTTTCATGGGTTGTGTTTTGTTTTTAAGTGCATTTTACAGCTTTGACCTGGTTCGCATGCTCTAAGCTAAGCGTGAATGCATGAGTATGAGAGTTCCTGGAGAGGAGAACTCTCCATCTGCAGTGCTGCTGATGTGAGCTAAGCCATGGTTTGGCTTAGCATGTCACCTGACTGCAGGTTGTGGTTTGTCCCACTTCAGACAAGCCACTTCAGGTAAACCAATGACAACTTGTAGTTTGGCCATCTTATTAAGTGTGTGTGTGTGTGTTTTAAAGAAAGTCATACTAGCCTTGTGAATTAGACCTGGGTGCTATCCAGCCCCCCCCCCCATGACAATAACAATTTGTCCTTTAGGTGATACTGTTTAATCATTTGTCACCTTTCTGTAATAGACACTGAAAGGCTTGTTTGGAATTTTTGTAATATATTTTGCACAGTAATTTACAAGACCCTCAGACCTCATGGAGAGCTCACACTAAAATCCATTAACAATTATGACACAAAACATTAGTCATACCTTCATAATCTCTATCACTTTTCAAGTAATATAACAGTGGAACAAAGTTTTTTTAGTTCCCTCAGCAGCTCAGAATCTGTTTGGCACTGCTTCCTCGTGGGCCTAGTCTAGAGGAACATGATGCTAGAATACACGGAGTCACTTCTGGAGAGGGACTCCAGTTCTGTGCTTGTTTTCTTCGTACAGAAATTTCTTAATACAGGGAATCATTTAAAAAGATCTGATCTTCAGAATTTGATCAACTCATTCTCCCCCCCCCCCCAGTGTGTCTCATATTCTGAGGTGGTCACGTTCATTCTGCTGCATGTGTAAACCAAGAGTGATTCTACACTAGGTGTTTGTTGTGGAATTGCTTTGTTTGCTTGCTGTTTATGGGTCATTTGCATGTTGTTCCCGTCAAAATCATCCTCCAGTGTTTCCTCTATGCTTCTTCTGTCTTTTTCAACCTGCACAAAATCAATTTGGGGGGGGGGAGAGCACAACAGTAGCTTAATCTCTGCAGCTAATAGATTGTTTTAGCATTAGTTTTGAGATGTGCTAGGTTAAGATTAGGGTTAGTGTGATTAAAGTGAGTTGTCAGAAGTTGGAAAACCACCCGTTAACGCGCGGTTGTGGATTCTAAAGATACACTACTGGTTAAAACTTATTTTTTCCCCGGCCGGTTTGGCTCCTTTAACACTCTTAGACACCTTTCATTCTACCTGGAAAGCTTCCCTGTTTGAAAAGATAAGAAGCTTGGGATTCTCCCCGCAGATCTTGATAGCGGCAGGATATGAGAGAGCCAGAAGTCAAGTGCTCCAACGCATTAGGGACATAGAGCTGCAATGTCATATGGGCAAAATGGATAAACATGCCACAATTAGAGACTTTGGAAGAGGGTTCTCACCCGCAAATTATCTGGCTGATTTACAAATACCTAAGTACAGACACTCCTTTACCCTGGCCAGATTTAACGTTCTGCCCTCTGCCGTTGCTAGGCAGATATGAGGGCAAACCATATGAGTCACGTGTTTGCCCATGTGGCTCATCGGAAGTGGAAACAAGTCTGCATGTATTGCTGCACTGTAGTTACTACGAGGATCTACGCCTGACCTTTATTGCCCCAGTTCTACAAAAGCTTAAAAATGTACCAGAACCCCAACGTATGAGAGCCTTGGTAGAAGATAAGGTTCCTGAAATTACGATCAATGTTGCCAAATTCTGTGTAGCCGCTATTAGGCGCAGGAAACAAGAGCTTTCCAATGTCAATATGCAGGCGAAGGCAAATACTTAATTAAGAAATGCATATGAATCCTCATGGCTTTTTACAGCATATGTAAAATGGTCCAGGGGTGAGATCCAACATAGTGCAAATGAATGTCCAGTCATGCAGTAGTGTCAGGGAACTGCCATCGGCTCAGGGGCGAGAGGGGAAAAGCCGGATGGATTACAGAGAGCCCCCAAAGATCGTGGGAAGCAGCACCTCCTCAGCGGAGGAGAGTAACCACGCCTCTAGTGGAGAGGAGCTTCAGGGCTCGGAGGAGGCGAGGCAGTGCTAGGACACCTTGCTTGAGCAAAGCGGGGAGGAGAGAGGTCCTTCGTTACCCACACCCTCCCTGCGCAGTAGGCTTCCACACCGAGAGGGGAAGCGCAGATTGGGCGTCAAGAAACTACTCTGCTGGGGAAGGTTTAAGGACCGCCCACTCACAGATTCTGCCAGTGAATGAGCCAGCCACGGGAGAGTGGCGCTCTGCATGGTGAAGGGTTTTTGGCACCAATAATGAGGCTTTACAGCCGACCAGGGAGGCATTTGCCTGATTGCTCTCAAGTAACCCCCTGATAGCCTTACAGTAAGGCATTTCCTTCCTCTTCACTCCCTATGCACATCCAAAACTTGCACTGGAAGGTTGGGGGATCTTCCAGTTTAGATTGGGGGGAATGGGGGGGGGGAGAAGCCAAAAGTCCTATTACTCAAGCAGCTGAACATCTTTGCATGTTGTCCAGATTCCCTGCTTGAAAGAGCTCTTAATTGAAAGTTACAGTGGCAATTAAATGGAGGCTCAAAAAGGCAAGGCCAAAAAGAGATGAATGTGTCAAATATATTTAAAGTGTCAAACTTGAACAAAATGAAGAAGACGCCAAACATTTTGACTTACTAATTATAAAGATTTTAACATATCATATCTGTAACTGTAAGTTAGTAATTAATGCTTTTTTCATGTATTTTTTGTTAAAGCATATGTAAATACATTATTCTAGAAATTGGGCTGGTCTCTAATATTTTGAATTGATAAGAAGTCCATAGCAGCAAAGGCCTTTATTCGGTATCAGGTAAAGGTTAATACAGAAGCATTCATAGCACTAGGGAAAATCAAATGAGAACCTTTGTTTATAAAATGATGGGTCTAGGGGAGCAGAATGTGTGCTATGCAAATTACTGTGTTTCTTCCAAATCACCATTGAAGGAAAAAAGCAAAATGTAGGTTTGGCTCTGATTTTTATTGCACCTGTTTCACTTTTTCTTATTGTTACAATTATTTTGAAACAATAATTGTAATCAGGAAAAGTAACTAATATTTTTTCCTTTTACCAGTCAATGAAAGCTAAATGTGACAGGGGAGAAGTGTCCGATGAAGAGCTACAGGAAGAAGTGAAAAAGCTGAAAGACGAATTAAAGAAAACTTCACATGGTACTTTTTGCCATTTCACACTGCTTTATCTTGTGGTTTTCTATGTTGAAAGCCCCCAAAAGAGGGTTTTGACCATAAAAGATTGTATAAAAGGTTCTTTGTCGGTAAAGTGCTGGGTGATGGCCCAGATTTGTGCCATGCAAGGGCAGAAGAAAACCAATAACAGAAAAACCAAAGACATAAAGATTGGGCCTGAGGTCAGGTCTTTGTGCTAGTATGAAGAAATTACTTTTAAAATGTACAACATAAGAAACTGTCTGAAGTTATGAACTGAAAGTCACATTTCTTTAAGAGGAACAGAAGAGACCCAAAATTGTTCTCCTCCTCTCGTAACAAGACCCCCCCTCACTTATTGTTTGCTTCTGTGTTTGACTTGGGCTGTCTTGATGAAACAACACTGAGATAAGGCAGATTTTTTCCTGGTCGTGTGTGTTAGTTCTGGATCTTGCAAGATCTGTTACCCTTCTGTATATTTACTAGGCTGAAATGAAGGTCTTGTATAGCATTGCTCCTGACCTTGTGAAGCCCAGACAACTAAAATGTACTTCTTTGGCTGTGTGCAGAACATTGCATAACCATTATGTATTTTAAAGCAAACTTACAAATGCATCCATTTCAAAATCCTAGCTGGAACAACTCTCTATCCTAGTTTATACTGACTTTAGTGAACACTTTCAAACCCACTGAGAATTTTTGCCAGTTACCATGAGTGAGTCCAAATATTTAATTGTGAGGTTGATTCATTCAGGAAGCTCAAAATGTTTTTTTTTAATACTACCAGCCCTGCAAGTTATAAATACATAGTGAATCTATCAGCTGAATACAGATTATTGTATCCAGATTTTGGAGGCTTTTAAAATAATGCTGCCATCACATTTTTATTCTATACGGAAAGAGTTTCCAAGTGAAACTAAAGCTGCAGTTCCATCCATAGAATTCTGAAAGTGCCCAAGAGCACTATCGAAATTCAGTGGACCCATGGCCAGGAATCTCAGTTAAACAAACCATTTTCTTTGTGAGAAATTGTGCATCTTCTGTGGATTTTATATCCAGAACTACAATTTTGTGCTTTAAACATTAAAGCCTTAGTAAGTAAAACGGTTTATTGATTGTGCAGAGAGGAGTGCAATATAGTCAAAAATGCATAAGAATTCCATTAGAATTAAAGGGAGGGTAACCCATCTTTAAAATTATAATCCATAAAACCCATGGAGCCACCCACAGTCTCCTTAATTGCAGCAGCACACCATTGAGAGCATCCAGCAAAAGCTCAGGGAAACAGATCAGTCTTTATCTGGCCCTGTAATAATAAAAGCATCAATGCCAAGTGTACTTCTAGGGGGAAGGCATTCCAAATTCAGGGTGCCACCATAAATCACCTCTTAGTGTACTATTCCAAAAGGTGTGACAACAACCACAGCTTCCCCTGAAATTAAGGAAATATGGGTAGGCTGATACAGGGAGAAGAATTCCTTCAGATATTTGGCTCCCAAGTTGTTAAAGGTAGTTATTGTCAGTACCCCGAATTCAGCCTTGAAATATATGGGTAGCCAATGCAGATCTTTCAGAATCAGTGTGAAAGTGATTCTAGCTACCTGCTCTGGTCAGCATTCTGGCAGCCATGTTCTGTACTAAATGTGGCTTCTGAATCATTTTCAAGGAGAATTAGAACTGGGTGTCACCAGCGTACCATTGGCACATTTCTTCCAATCCCCTGACGGCATCCCGTAGTAGCTTTTATAGACGTTGATCATGGGGGACAAGATGGAACCTATGGGATCCCAAACTACAACTGCCTTAGAGGCTCCACAGGTCACCCAATGCTAATTTCTGGAATCTGTCCTGTAGGTAGAAATGGAACCACTGTATCACTGCACCCTCAGCTTCTAACCCATAGAGCCAATCCAGTAAGATACAATGGTTGATGGTAACAAAAGCCACTGAGGAAAATATACACGCAAACTTAATTACTAGATAATCATGTAAGCATGAGAGCTGTTATGATTTGTTATGATTAGGAACTCAATCTGCACTTTAGACAATTCTGAATTCAGACACCTTTGGCAAGTCATTGTTCTCACAGTCTATCATCCCTATCTGCAATGTGGGAATAATGTTGGCCCATTGGGATTTTATAAAGGTTGCTGATGTGTGCATTTAAGCCCCTGAAATATGTGATAAAAATGCTTAATAGCAGCAGTATTGATGCCTGTGTTCATTTATAAATATTTGCAACACACAATGGTATACCTGTTTAATTATGAGTTTTAATTACATGCCTCTATGTATCGGGTGTTCTCAAAAAAAAGATGACATTTCAAATGAGGAGGGAAAAGTAACGTTTACACAATGTTTGCTGGCTCTTATAAACAGACATAGCTTGTATACAAAATAAATGTAATAACATTGTTCTCCTTGATGAACTCTTTGCTATAGAGTTTTTCTCTGTTCATTCAGGCAGCTATGCAGCAAGTTAACCTATAATGTTGCAACAACAAAGTGATTTTTATGATCAAAATTGAAAGTAGCTTTGTAAAATTCGACACTAGAACTGACACAAGAGAGGGAAAATATTGATGTTCCTGAATGTGTTCAGTTTTTTAACTGACATTTTCCTAAAGAACCAATGGCAGGCAGTTGTCTTATTTAAAGTTTAAAAACAGGCTCTTAAATTCAGATTTAAAGGATTGAATTATGTTCTGCTGGCACAACAAGACTTTTATCTTCTCTCTGCCCCAAACCCTCCAACTGCTCTCCAAATGTGCACCTAACCATTTCCAACTGATTTGAGGGTACACAGGTGGGTTGAACAGTTATGTTGCAGAGTTTCAGCATCAGAGATGGCCCAAATAATTTAAAGTCATTTTATAAAAGTTGACAAACTTGCTTATTTACTTTATGAATAGGGGACATAGAAAGGTTACATATGGACTGCGGTTTGTTCTTTCTCACTGGGCCAATGATGAAGAATCATGTAAAACTTGTGTTCCAGACTTCTCCAGTAGCTCTAAATCATCTAGGAGGTGTCCCATATATAGCAGCAGGTTTAATAATAATAATAATAATAATAATAATAAGTATATGTTGCCCATCTGATTGGGTTACCCCAGCCACTCTGGGCGGCTTCCAACAAATTAAAACACAGTACGACATCAAACATTAGCTTCACCAAACAGGTGTCATCTAAAAGTCAGATATTTATTTCCTTTACTTCTGATGGAAGGGAGTTGCACTACCGAGAAGGCCCTCTGCCTCGTTCACTGTAACCTCATTTCTCTCAGTGAGGGAACATCCAGAAGGCGCTTGGAGCTAGATCTCAGTGTGCGGGCTGAATGATGGGTATCATGCCCTGTTCTCAAATGACTGGGAATTAACCTAAAGCTACCCATAAGGCTTCTGTTTGTCATATAAACATGCCATGGGAATATATAACCATATCTTACATTTTACTGAGCTGTCAACCATGAACCTCTCAGCAGGCAATAAATCCATGAAAAAGGATGGACAGACATTGAAACAGCATGTGCCTCAGGGAAGGGCAAGTGTCAGATAGGGGATCTTGTTAAAGCTCAGGGTGGAAAGAGTGTGGTTGGGGTGAGTAGAAACTGGCAGAAGACAGGAGAAAAGTGTGGGCTGGAGGTTGGAGAAAGAGGGGGGCAAGCAGAAGACAGCTTGGGGAGAGGAGATTTTCACACAGTCTATTGATGGCCCATTTAGTGCATAGGGAATTTATAACTAAAGCCTGGGCTGTGGGCCTCTGGTTTCTCTGTAGTGTGTTAGGTTATACAGTGGTGCCTCGCAAGACAAAAAACTCGCAAGACGAAAGGGTTTTTGGTTTTTTGAGTTGCTTCGCAAGACGATTTTCCCTATGGGCTTGCTTCGCAAGACGGAAACGTCTTGCAAGTTTGTTTCCTTTTTCTTAACACCGTTAATACAGTTGCGACTTGACTTCGAGGAGCAACTCATAGAACGCGGTGTGGTAGCCTTTTTTGAGGTTTTTGAAGACTTTGGTGATTTTTGAAGCTTTTCCAAAACTTTTCCGAAACCGTGCTTCGCAAGATGAAAAAAATCGCGGAATGAATTAATTTCGTCTTGCGAGGCACCACTGTACATTCTTTCATGAATGTGTATTATATGTAAACCCAGCATTATGTGTAAAGTGCAAAATCCATTCACTCTTTATATATAAGCAGAATTGTGCTCTGGCATCCTAAAGATTCATGTTACTGTCTTAATAGTCTTACAGTAGTTGGCAACTAAATTGCCAACATTGCCTCTGCATCAGATAGCCGAAACATTTTTATTCATTCCTTTTATGCCAAAGGAGCTTGGGGCGATGTACAAAATATATACAATAAAAAGGTACAATTGCCAACATACTTGAAAATATTTATAAAATTCAGAACCATTAAAACACAGCAAAGCCATCTGTTGCTGTTCAGTATTGAAATAATCTAGCCTCTCCAGTGGTACCTCAGGTTACATATGCTTCAGGTTACATACGCTTCAGGTTACAGACTCTGCTATCCCAGAAATAATGCTTCAGGTTAAGAACTTTGCTTCAGGATGAGAACAGAAATCGTGCTCCGGCGGCGCAGCAGCAGGAGGCCCCATTAGCTAAAGTGGTGCTTCAGGTTAAGAACAGTTTCAGGTTAAGAACGGACCTCCGGAACGAATTAAGTACTTAACCCGAGGTACCACTGTATTTGTAAAATGCCAGAGTAAAAAAAAAACCCACCAACTGACATCTGATCATAATAAAGCAAGCAACACAAACATATCCCAGGAGAAGGGGCTTCCAGAATTGGAAGGCCTTGTTGTGCATCCCTGTATGGTGAATCCTTGGGGGTTAGGGCATAAGAGAACCCCCTGCTGATTTTAATGCTTGACTTGGCTTATTTTATAGAAGTCGATTCTGTAGATATATAAGCCCTGTAATATATACACTTTAGATGCCTTCACCAGCACCTTGAACCCGCCCCAGTAGCACACAGATGGCCATTGCAGTGCTTCTCAGATTGGTGTTACACGTTCCCATCTGACTGAGCAGCTTCATTCTGCAACTTCCAGGCAGTCTTCAAGGGCAGCCCCAGATACAACACATTACAGTAACCCAAATGTAAGATTGCTAGAGCTTGGGTTACTGATTCCAGACTATCCCAGTCCAGGAATGGCCCATAGCTGGTGAACCAACACTAGCAAGCAGTAGGCACTCCTAGTTTGAGTTTGAAAATAAGTTTTTCCTATACCCGGGTAAACATTCGGCTGGGCTATTTGTACAGCTCACATGCATTTGTAACGCATGCTTGTCTTTTGAACTACATTGGCAAATGCTTATTATAGGGTATATGTGGTAATAAGCACTCTGTTACAGGTAACAAAAATATTTCACCTTCAAGGGACCTACAACTCACTGCTGACTTTAGGGTGCAGTGTTCCAGGCACTGCTGAACAACTTCCTTTTGTTTCGACTGAAGCTTAATGCAAGTTCTACTGAAGTGCATCTATTTTACTCTGCTAAATGTGGCTTGGGACAAATAACCTTTTCATAGCATGTAAAAAGCTGTTCAAATACGCCACTCAGATGCACTAAAATGAAAACCCAGCCTTCTGGCAACTTCAGGGCAATTCTACCCCATTTCAGTGAGTAGGTCCGCAGAAGGTTGCTTCCTATTTCTAAGGACACTGAGAACAGAAAAATCTAACTGAAATGGTGTCATTATGTTGTCCGTGGTATATTTGAAGAGAACGGAATGCCAGTATTAAATTTGTTGTATTTTTGTGTGTATAGCCATTTTGTACACTTAAACACTATTTTATGTTATGTTTCATTGGAATATTAGGATATAGGGTGAAGTGAGCCTAGCATAATGCCATGGGCTGGCTGGATGCTGGTGGAAGACACCAGCTGGGGAACCCCCAAGGGGCACCCCAGGGGAAGAAGGCTCAGAGCCAGGGAAGTGGTGGTTGGGCAATGAGGAGTAGTTAAAAAAAAATTATTTAGGATTGTTCTGGAAAATTAATGAATATTAGAAAAATGTTGGAATGAAATTATTTGGCTTTAGCAGAAATGTTAAAAAGAGTTTTGCAAGAATATGTTAAGGTTAGGAGAAATTGGTATGAATAAGACTTAAGTTTTAAATTTTAGGGTTTTTTATATAATATAGGTTAAAATAGATCAACGTAATTTAATGACAGGATATTATGAAAAATGGAAAGGATTTGCTGTTATAATTAATAACTAGAATACAAAAAAGGGAGGTGTGAGGAGGTCGATGAAATAAGGACATGACAGTTAAGGATTTGGGAATATTGGATTTGTTTTTAAATTTTTGTGGTTTATTCTTGTTTTGTGATTTTGATGTGTTATGTGTTATGTGTTTTCCTTTGTGTCAGGGGTTCAGGAGCAGAGGCGAGGGCAAGGGAGGAAACAGAGAGCGAGGGGGAGGAGTCCGAAGAAAGGATGAGTGATGACGACGACCCGAGATCTCCGAGTCTTTCCAGTGAATCGGAAGATTCACAGAAAGGAGCGCCAGTGGCCAGAGCAAAGGGGGGGCCTAGGGGGACACCCCAGGAGGAAAGGACCAGCGGGGGTTCAGAGGGCAGCAGTTGGAAATCGGGGCCAGCGTCCCCACCAGAGCGCAGTGGAGAGGAAGGACGTCAGGGATCGAGCCCTGGCAGCTCGCAGCAGGGAGGAGGGCATGAGTCAGGAGTGACCACACCCCCATCGGGGAGCGAAGAAACGGTCAAGCGGAAAGTGGAAGGTTGGGCGCGCGCGCCAAGTTCAAATGCACAGGAAGGCGGCGCAGTAAGCAGCCCGGAAAGGGAGCCAGGTCCTAAAGCCCGACGCAAGGAGACAGGAGGGTCCGGGGGGTCAGCGTCAGAGGAGTCCCGGAGGGAGGAGACCACGGGGGGCAGAGGGACCCAGAGAAGGACGGTCAGGCGGAAAAGGTGGAGTAAGGCGAGGATATTAAGTTGGTGTACGAGGGGCGGAGACTCAGACGGAGCTTCGCCGGTCTAGCCATAAGACGTAGAGTTGCACGCAGCAGCTTGGAAATGGAAACTGTAAATCAATAAAGACTTTTATAAAGCGAACGCTGGCTAGCGTGATCCTCTGTGAGCTAGGATCGGGGAGCAGCTCTGACACTTTGGTTTTTTGATTTTGACCTTTATCGATTTGTATTGTTTGACTGCTGTTTGTCTTTCTATTGTTTTTATTTTTTCCCCTTCTTTTTCTCTTTATCTCTTTTGTAATTTTAAAATTCTTAATAAATATCATTAAAAAAAAAAGAGGAGTAGTTAGAGGGAGAAGACTGGGAGGAGGAGGTGTTGGAAACTGTAGAGGTAACAGGGTGAAGCGGAGATTGGAGTGGAATGGGGGCCAGGAGACAGACGGGCAGGCTACGGAAGAAGCTAGGAATTCTGAACTGCTCACAATCTGGTATCATTGGAAAACAGCCCCTCAAAAGAAATAGTCCATGCAGTTTTATATAGGCACTGTAGTGCTTACCTGTCCACCCACATCCCACTAACTCCCCCAGAATGTCATCTTACAGCTCTGAGTCTAGACTGAGGAAGGTTTTTCGTATGCTGGACCTTGACATTCTTCTGCTAAGAAGACCTCACCCATCCTGTCACAAGTGTATTTTTGTCAAAACATAGCAACAATGCAATAAATGTTTTTCTGTGCTCACCTTCAACTATCTCCAGATATCTTGGTTATGATTAAAGACAGGATTGTTTTTAGTTACAACTAGAGCACCTTGCCAGTCCTTCATAAAACACTCAGTAATTAGTTACTGTTGGATCAAGTTACCGAAAAATGGATTTTGCAATCTAATATAATGGCAACTTCTTTAACATGAATAAATTCTATAGAGCCAATTACTTTTATTATTTTTTTAACCCTCAGTTGCTTCTAAGATTTATCCCACCTTGTGATATATTCTAAAAAGAGGAGGATAATGTTCTTAATAGTACTTTTTATAATGTATTATAAAATAGGAAGGCTTTGATGTATTAAATCATATATAGTAGTCTTGCACCACCAAAACCATACTATTATAACAGAACTTGCAGCAATGCTTCACTATCTCATCTGTTCCCTACGCCACTTTCCTTTCAGCACCTGAAGCTCCTTTTTCCTTCCATCACCACACAGGTCTCTAGACGTGACGTTTTTCTCATCCAAGCTGACCTTTCACATTTTTCACACAAACCTCAGCATTCTGCTGTATTCCCCTTATGCAGTTAATATGTGTTGAACATCAGTTGTGTAAAAGCAGCTCACCCATTGGCAAGGATTTCCTGGCATGTGACAGTCATTTGTTATCCTGTTATATAGCACTGTAATCTTTTTTTAACAAAACAAAAACCAAACCAGGTATCATTTAATGCACAAATAAATATTTTGTCCTAATGCTGTTATTCATGTGTTGAATAATACTACTCCTGTGTTGTGCAGCTCTCAGCAAGGCCAAAGATGACTTTTCTACAACTCAGAAGCGGTGTGAAGGCCTTAGAAAAGAATATGACCAACTTACAAAAGAATACAACAAAATGCAGGTAAGGTGGTAGAAGCAGTTGATTTGCTCGAGCAAGACTTCCTGGAATTAGACTAGCTATGTTGTGTGTGTTGGATCCAAAAGAAAATTTATCAGACAACAATCTTTAATTCTGTGTACGTCTGGACAATGTTCTTTCAGAATAATGAGAATACTTAACTCTTAAGTTTTCCCAGAACAGTTGTTGAACTGGAACCTACTTTGTTTTAAAACAAACGTGAATTATTTCATCAATAATATTGTATGTTCCTTGAATAGTAGCACTGAGGAAGAGGAAGAAACTCAAAAAGGGGGTTTCCCCTTCTTTAAAAAGATTCTGAATGTGGTTCACATGTCACAGTAAACCATAAACCATCATGGTTTACAATACGCAAGTATGTCACCCCTGCTTTCCACTCACATGGGGCGGGAAACAAGCAACAGTATGCCTAAACCATTTTTTTATTTTGTTAATTTATAATTTGCCTTTCATGTGTGTCTCAGGACAGTTTAGAAACATACCATGAAAACTGCAGAAAATAGTTTTGAAATCAGTACAAAAGTCAACTAGAGATAGGTTTAAACCTCAAGATCATGGTTTGCTTCACTCCCAGCAAGCCATGATCTTTGCCAAGGTTTGTTCTCAGCTTACTAATCATGCTTTGATCCCTGGTTCCAACATAATGTTAAACCTCGGATTGTGCTTTGTTTCTTCTGCCCACTAGCTGGGAGGAACAAAACAGCCCAGATAGGAATATTCACAATAAACAACTTAGAGTTGAGCAAAACCATCAATTGTAGCTACTAGGGTACTTTTTACAAGGCTAATTGCTCTGGCAGAGAGGCAATTTTGTGACACCTTTATGCTGACAGTGCTCCTTCATACTGCAATAAGACTTGAAAAAGCCGCCTATTGGAGCCAACAGAAGGCTTCTTTGAAGCTTAATTGTTGAGGAGACAATTTTCAGAGGGAAAGGTCACAGCTGGAGAGTTTAGCCTTCCCTTCTTCACTGCAACCCCCCTCCCCTGCCACACTTAGGCTTGAATGAAATATTTTATTAGCTACAGTAGACAGCTTTTCCTATCCCAAGCCATTGTTGGGAGCTTGTATCTTCCTCAAGATTGCAGCCTTTTTCAAACCTTTTTTTAAGGTGGGGAGATGGAGACTGTGCATGTGTGAGAGGTTTCACTGGTGTGTGTGTGTGTGTTTGCAGTGGAGGATGAGTGGTGCCCCCAATAGTTTCTCATGTTTCCAAACATGCCAGGGATTGGCAGCCCATAGTGCACACATTAACTCTGTGGTCATCCTGATGCACAAGTTACCCTGTATAAAGATAGCTTCACTCCTTTTCTCACATGTGTCTCCTTACCTTTACAGTGTTCTTCAGGCGGAAAACATGATAAGAAAGGCCAGTAAATGCAGCACAAGGACATCATTAATACACGTGCATCAACATGAATCGTCTCTTGTTCCTGTCTTTACTCTCCTAAGCTTTGTAAAAACAAGGTCTATTTTCTTTAAAGGGAAATGCTCTGCGTTTGTAGCTGAAACGCTAGGTTGCCAAACATATTTTATTTTGCAATGGAAATAGTGGCTAGGATCCAAAGACCTACTTTACTTGTGTCAAAGGCGCAGTGGAAGTTTTGCTTTGATTTTTGTTCTTGTTCTTATTTGAATGGCAGATTCCCATGGCATGTCACACAAACTCCATTAAGCTGCAAAAGAGATTTGCCATGTCTCATGGAGGGCTGGCGTTCAAGAAATACAAGTCCATACCTCCTTTGAGCACACAGCTTTATTTGTGTGGTTATTTGGATGCAGACCAGTAAGTGGTGTGCTGTCAGTATACTGTGAAGAATCTTTTTAAGCCTATAAGGAAAATGTAAAGCAGTTTAGAATGGAAATTTCCATTAACCACTGTTCAGCTTCTATCCACTGTTTTACACTGAAACTGAAAAAGGCAGGAGATTGTACAACTGCCAGCTATAGTAATGTAGAAGAGGCTTTTTAAACTACATAAACCATGATGCTAGAAGAATAAGCATAGTGAAACATGCTACATCCAGATAACTTGACAAACAGTAAAAAGAATTAAAATAAATTTTAAAGGACTTCACATTTAATTGCATAGTTATTTATAGTTGAGAGTTTCTTCTTTCCCCATCTTTAGATTTTTACTATAGTATACTTTTACTTCATGTATTCAAGAATTTGAATATGTTGTATTTTCTTTCTGCAGTGGGCGATACCCCTGAAAAACACATATATGTAACTTACAAAACAGGCTTTTTTTGGTGATTAGTTATTTGTGACATTGTTTCTTTCTTAAAACCTTCATTATCTGCAACTGAAAGGTTTTATTTTTATTTTTTTACATTGGTTCCAGTATGCTGCTTGGATGTTGGATTTGTTAATAAAAGAGATTGTTTAAGCTTGGTTTATCTTCCTACGTGTCTTAACTTGGAATTCATAAACAACAAACTGCTGTGTTTAATTTGCTCCTGTGACAGTGAAATAATTCCATAAGAATTAATTTGGGCAAAACTAGCCCAAATAAATACTATAGTACACTCTGTAAGGGAGGAACTGGTATTTTTAATTTATAAAAATCAAAGATTTAGAATGGTGCTTCTGTATACTAATACCAAAAAGTGCAATGAGTATGCAGAGTTTCATGTTTATATGCATCTGAGCTTGTTGGGGAGAATGTTGTTTGTGTAAGTAAATTTTGTGTTTTGGGTTTCTCTAGTTACTTCAGCATATGAGAGAAAATTGAAATCTGTTGCATTTGAGCCTGCTGATTCTCTCTTGAAACCTGCGCCCAAATGTTTGCTGTTCAAATACCATTACGATGCACTCCAATAAGCTGATCTTGCAAATTCTGGGGACTGTACTGAACACCAAATTTTTATTGCAAAACTTAGTAAAGGCACTGCCAAGTTATGACAATACGTTTCTTGAGTTCTTGCATTAAAGATCTTGCCTACTCCATGACCTGTAGTGGTGATATATTGCTGTGACAATATATATTTTCTGTGACAACTAGTCTGAAGGATGAGGATACAACCTGAGGATCTGGTTAGATATGATCCCCCTCACAGCGAAATTTGCCTATCACTGTTTTTATGTGCAATACTTGAAATCTCAACCAGTGGAAAGTGCATTTGTTTGGGATTTTATGGAACTTCCATTTGCGCTAGCTCTTGTCCTTTCCCCACCAATTCCCCGTGCTACTCTTTGAAGTAATATGGAACAACACAATCCCACTGTGTCTTGCACACCTGAAATCAGGGGAGCAGGGGATTATCTACAAGGTCTTGTCCACGGGTGCAAACATCAATGAGTGGAGGCCGAGCAAACTGATATTATGAGACAAGATGGTCCCAGACAAGAAGAGTGACCACAAACGCAAGATAATAGTTTATCCAAATACTTTGCCTTTAGCGGTTTTATTGTATGCACAATGGCACAGACTCCATTTAAGTTAACTGCAGCTGCACAAGTAATTCCGATAAATATAAAGGAAAATGGCTTATAAAAAGTTCCTGGTCAATTGTTTTGCGCATGTATATATATATATTAGTTGCTCTCCCATTCATCTGTCCGTCGCAAAGGGATTGGTTTCTTTAAAAGTCAGTTTTCTCTTCCCAGTAGGGACATGAATTGCTGTACTGATATTTCCCTCTCTTATGGGGCCCTCAGTAGTTATATCACATGAATAGAGTGGTTAAAAAACCTCTCAGGAACTGTACAAAAATGTACAATCTGAGATGGATGTACACCAGAAGGATAGTTTACATATGTGTGGCTGTGGAGTTGTTTCTTTGACTCAGCATGAGTTCTTAAAACTTTACACCCAGTTCTTTTCTATTCACAGATTACTTTTATTTTTAAATAAAAGCATTTCTATTCACCGTTGAAAAACAAACCTTTTATCTTTTTCTGGTTTCCTTCATCTCTGGCCCTTTTCTCTTAGGGAAGGGAGACCCTCTATTCCTCACCTCCTGAACCTCTGCCTCAGCCCCAAGGCTGCAGCATGCCTGGGGGACAGGGCAGATGAGGAGGCACTGGGTGGACTGTGCCACTGAGGACTATTGGTGGTCCTCAGTCTACCGTTTGAGAAATGCTGTCCCATCTCCTGAAAAAGATACTATTCTGATGTTAGCAGCAGGTGATACAAAAGTTGGCTGTGGTGATAAATAGGTAGTAGCTTTCCTATCCATGTGAAGGGCATCGTACAAATGTGCTAGTAAACATCGTAGTTGATCACATATTTGAAACAAAACAAAATACAGCACCACAAACAATACCTTCTGTAGGTGAACAGGCAGAAAAAAACTGAAAAAAATGTCATAATGAAAAAAAGACTATTCAAGAAGAGAGAAGAGAATAACAAGCTTAAGTTTATGACAATTCACTCTATTTTATTGAATACAGCAAGAACCTGCTATTTAAAAAAACACAGAAAGTTTTACATAAGGTGTTGTGAATTGAAGTAATGAGTAAATTTTCTCATCTATAAATGAATTGTAGGATCTAATTTAGAATCAAATCATTATATATTTGTACACATGGAAGTATGTTGATATCTTTTCTACGTATAATCAGTTTATTTATGCTCTGCACCAGTATGCAGCTGACACCCGACCTTATTTCTTCATGTCAACCAAACTAATATAAACAAAAACAAAAAAGAGGGAGGGAGAATAATACAAAGTCCTCTTTCACAGGTTTATTTATTGTCCCACACAGAGAAAGGTGAACCCTCCCAGCTCTCACCTGGGAGCTTCCCTTTCTTCTCCCACCTTCCCACCCTGGGAGATCTTCCTTGTCTCTCACACAGAGTCCTTTATCAACTAACCATCACCTGCATGTTAACTCTTGAGTAGAGGACCATTCAAAATACAAAAGTCTGAAGCAGAACAAACAAAAACGGCAGAAGGAATAAACAGAAGAGGAAAAGGAATTAAAAGGAAAATAAATATTTAAAATGAGTAAAAAGGACTTCCCACTATCTGCCAGCTATATCTACAAGGATTCTTCCAAATAGATGTTAAATCCAGATTAAACTCCAGCTGTTCCTCTGCTAGGCGATGTTTTTTCCAGTCTTCATTCATCCGGGCATCTCAACTTCATTCATTTTTCCTTCCAAGCAGAAAGTCCAAAAGAGGTTATCCGGTTATTATAAACATGAACAACAGTCCAATATTAAGAAACATGCTCTGTTCTTGATGTTGTTGCACTCCTCTGGAAGAAGCATGTGTGTAGCAAAGGTTCTCCTGAATTCCACCTTGTCGCTAGAGACGCAAGAATTTCCAGTGGCATAGAGTGTCCTTTTCCTTTCTGTAGCTGGTTTTCAAGCCACACCTGTTCCTAGACAGGGATAGTTTGGCCACAGTAATTCGTACTCTGATAACTTCCCATTATTGTAATGTTCTGCATGTATATATTTATTACAACAAAACTCAAATTCTGCTACTTGTTTTGTATTGGGACAGTTCCTATCTATATTTACATTTATCCACCTGGTTCAGCCAGCAGATTTGTGAATATACCATGTAAGGAACAAATAAAGTAAAGATGCAGAGTGTCCACTTATTTTTACTAATAGGGTCACTGCCAACTGAAAAGAAGCACTGACAACCCTGGGAAACTGCAAGAGCTGGGGAAATATTATTCCCATACACAATTTGTGCAGGGCACTTTGTGAGTCCCTTTCTGCCAAGGATCTGTTAAGCATGCAACTGCAAAATGGCTCAACTTTGTGCTCCAACTTCTATACTAATTTAAGAATACTAGTTCAAGCACATGGAATAATTGTTAAATTTGGGCTTTGAGTCATAGTCGTAGTGTGGAGAGCCAAACTGGAAAGGCTACCATAACAGAAAATACGCAGGAGTAGAAGTGGTGACTGTTTTGGGACCAAATGTAGGGTTGGGATTTTCCAGTTTCAAATGCCACAGTTCCAGTAACTACAAGCCTACCTTCTACAGTATTTCTGCAATGACAAAGCGTGGCGTCTATTTGATACTTACTTATATATTGCTAACACATAAAACTGCTGATTTATACAACTGGTATCCAGTTTTTCCTTTAGCAAAAGGTCTAAGTAACTAATAGCTATTATAGTTCCTGTTATCATATGCCTTGTATCAGGACAAAGAGAAAGGAAAAGGAGCCCGCGCACTTGAAGAAAAATATAAACAAACATGAGGACAAGGATACATTAGCATACACAAAATATTGGTGTTTTGAAGGCAAAAACCTCCTGGTTCTCTCAGCATATTGTTTAGGGTATGCATGCATCCCAGTTCCTTATTCCTTTCTATATACATTGGCAATTATTGGTACAAAGGCAGTAGGCTAGTGATTTCTGGGTGAAACTGAAGATTTTGGGCTGGATGCTTTGCTAAGGTTTTTTTATAGAGGAAACACATTCGCCGGTGCCAGTGTATTATGTGAAGCATTTGAAAGCTTAATTTGGGGGTGCACCCTCAGTTCCTTGTTATTTCCCCCCCATACGTTGACTATTACTGAATGGGGTAATATACTTGACGATGTCATGCACCCAAAGCAAGCATTGGGCCAGTTGTGATGCTAGGGTACCCCAAAACTACAATCTCCTCCTTGTTGCGTCCGTGATATGAGCTGGCCAAAAAGGTTTTTGTGGTGTGCCCCCTTCTCCTAGTTCCTTACTCAATTCTACATAGTCACTAGGGGAGCCACACTTGGCAGGCTGTTGGGCCAAAATGATGTGGTGTAGGGATTTTCATAGAGGACTCCCTCCTAGACTTGCGGGTGTCTGATTTGCGGTGGCTCAAAACTTAAGGTGGGGTGTGCACCCGCTTCTTAGTGGCAAAGCAGATTTTGGATTTTGACTGAAGATCCTTATTGTGGACCTCAAAGGGGACATGGAGATAATATGGCACCACTAAGAGTATCTTGAGATATAAAGGCCAGGGCCTTTATAGAATTGACATTTAGGTCCCTGCTTAAAACTCCCCAATTCACTCACACTTTCTGTCAGGAGGTGATCCCAGGGGTGCCACATTGAATAAAACATGGGGCCTCAGGTAATCCACATAGTCACATGATGTGGCAAAATGTCCATCAACTTTGGGGCCCCTGATTCCTTCAATTTGGGGGGGGGGGTAAAGGGACCTTGGCCGCTAGGAGTTGGTTCCTATGGATCCAGCTATCTCAATGTATTAATCCGACCTAGTGATCTGTGATGTGTTTTGTTCTTATTTTATGAACTCACTTTTGTTGTTGATTTTACACTGTTCGCTGCCTTGGTTTTTTTTTTAAACTTGGTAGCACAGCTTTTTTATTTTTTTTATTTTTGCAAATGAATGAATGAATGAATGAATATGGGCCAGCCCAGAGCTTAACTTTGGAACGCACCAGGGGCAGAGAAAGTCATGTCCCTGAAACTG